AGAGTTGGAAATTACCACAGTTCTTTTCTCTACGAGTAAATATTAGGTGTAATGGTGATACCATATCACCATTATTATGTGGTACTACCATCAAATAATAAATTTATAAATAGATAAGATGAATCCCACCTGATAATTATTTTCTTACATGAACAAAGTAATTTTTAAATTAAGTGGGATTCACTTACTTACATATTTGTTTGATATTGAATGTTGATACCATTTGTTAATGATGACATTGTTAAATTCAATATTTTCTCCTTCTCTACCGACTGAAATACCCTCCAATTTACAACAGCGTGAAGAAGACAAACACACACAACCGTAGCAATTGTTTAATTTTTAGGGTGTTTCAATAGTTGAGTCTAATTTTTGATAACTCAGAGGTTTTGTGTTCAATCTCTTCTCACACCCTCTAAAGACTAACATTATTATCTTTTAGGGACATAATCTAACTTAATTTAAATCATAGTCGCCAGCCACCGAACTCAATAGAGTCATCAGTGCAAACCTCAACACCTTACAGCAAAAACAAAAAAATAATAATCTAACAACCGTTTCCTATCCTTGCAGTGCTTTTGCGTTGAACCTTCCCGTCAACAGGATAATACTCATGCAGCCACGGAGGGATTTTTCTTGTGTTAACTGCTAACCTCCCAATTATTATTCATATTAATTAGAGTAGTACTCGAAAAATAAAGATTAGTTAATCCCCAAAGGGAGCGGTGTAAGTTAACTTGGTACGTACGAACATTTGTATTCGTCTTTCGTCGGTGACTCCCAAATTTGATCAAAACTAGTGGTTAGGGAGCTATCGTAGGTCTGATAAAAATTTTAATAAAAAAAAGGTATCATAAGTATTTAGAGTTTAGTCAACAGCGGTGAGTACAATATAGTACTTATTTAGAAAGATTTCTTGATATCAATTAGAAGTAGAGGTCAGTCAGTTTCGAACAATAACAAATACTTATGTACCGAAGTAATATATTATCTAAAATTAATCGAACTAATTCCTATTCCAAAAGTGGCACCGCCAATCTCACTCCTGGACACCCCATGAGTTGATTTTCTGCTTAAGGGGAAGTTGGCAGGCTGGGCTTCCACGAAGGCTGTATGCTTAATTAGAAGCCAGTGATATCCTAATGATTTCATACGTTTTCATTGAACTTTTTCTTCACGCGTGACTAAACTCATTATAGATTTGATAAACTTTTGCATAATTTAGCTACTAAATACGCTAAAGATATTCCGCCAAAACACGCTTGTTTCATAACTGGTAGATCCCACCACAGAAAGTGAAATGGAAAGCCCTTAGCTTTAGTCACAAAAAAAAAAAATTAAAGGAAGAGAAAAAGGAGAGGAGTAAAATAATTCCATCATCCTAAAAGCGGTAAAGCCTCCAGAAGAGCTACCAAGCTGTCTTCATGTGAAGCATTACAAGGTTGGTAGAAGCTAGGGATAACAAAACCACACCTCTCATTAAATCCAAGTAAATCGTGGATACTTACAGTAACTGACAATCCATACGTATCAGTTGTGCCTATGAATCATTATATCTGAATACTTGTGCCAATTATAAATAAATCTTTTCACTCTAAAAAAGGAGAGAGTATTCGATAAAACGGTGATACCATGTCAGTATTAATAATATGATATCACCAATTAATAATAAAACACCAAACACTTAGATAGTTATTGATTTACGTGAAAGAACAATGAGTAATTATCTACTAACATGGACGAGCAGTTATTGACTTGTGTAGAATCCACTTTTTTATTTTTCTGTATATTATAAATTGGTGATACCATGTGATAATGCTGACATTGTATCACCATTATAATAAATATTTTTCTCCCTCTTTTCAAATGTAATTTGATTTTTCTCACCATGAAATGGATGGATATCGTGTGTAACTATTTGAAGATGCAGCCAACTTGCAAGGGAGGTAGAAGCTAGGGATAAAGAAACATATGATATCCCAATCTGATTTGTGCATGGAGAAGAGAGTATATGTGCCTACACCTCCCCTATTTCTTGGTGTCTTGCATTTGGAGGCTTGTTTTAAAGATATGATTGGGGGTGGCGAGTTGGGATGATGTTACTGGTACTCATTCCAAGGCCATTTATAAAATAAAATGAGCATAACCTTAGAAACGCCAAGCTCATAGCTCCCAATCTTTTCATGAAAAGAAGAGAGACTATGAAACAAAGGTTTCATGCACATGCTTCCCTCTTTTCTCATCATCTTACAAACAGTAACTCCAAGTGCGTGGGGGTGGGACACGTCATCATTCTTCTGATTCAATGCAGTTACAGAATCAAACCTGACACCACCCTATTGCATACAAGTAAGAGCCCTAAACCTAGGGCACTAGGGCTCTTACTTTCTAATCACCGTCAAAACCAATTTAACAAACGCCCCAAAACCCACCCACTTTACTTCACAACCATGAAGACGCGTGTCTAATTAGAGACTAATATATTTAGCATTGTGAGGAACATCAATTTTCAGCCTTACACGTACGTAAGATGAACAAAGTAGGGTTTCGTAGAATAACATGACGTGGATTCCTGGTCCAGAAACTATATTCATGGGATACTACTTTTTACCTATAGGGTTAACAAACTGATAGCTAGTGTGCAGACCTATGCATAAGATGAGTTTCAACAGCAATGCTACGGTGATCAAATTTGTACGTCAAAATACTTGTATCCGTCAGATTAATGAGTCTCATTACTAATTTAATGACTACAGATAATTTAGTGCACATTTTGGTACACAAATTTAATGCACATAATTTTATCCGAGTTCAAATAATTTATTCTCTAGGCTAGGTTTTAACATGAATCCTTTAACCCCATACATAACAGCTTTAGCCTTATTTAGGAGCATGGAGTCTTTAGACGATCATAAACTTGCATTTTTACTCAAGATAGGTTTTCAAACAAACCTGAAAAATGTATCCAATGTATAAGGTATTTTGTAGCTTTACTCCAATTTTCAAAAGATCAAAACCCAAACTCAAACTTGTTACAATTTAAAACACGCTTTATATATCTTTCAATTTCATAGGAATTTTCTTCTTTTTTCACTACAGAATCAAGGGTCTCAAAAGACAACATATAACATACCCTAGAAATACAAAAAATGTATATATCAGGTGCTGGAAACTAATAAAGAGAGCATGTATGCATAAGGTGCATCGAATAGATTAGGTAATGGTACAATTAATAAGCTTCCCACTAAATCAAACATAACTATTTTGGGGAAAAAAATTAACAATTGAAAAAAAAAAATCAACGCCCATGCAGTCTCGAGAGATTTTTTAGGGACAATATTATCTATTTTAGTTGTAATGAATCCTCACAAGTCAATGGCAAAATTTACTTTTAACCCATGTACTTAATAATAGAACTAGCTTAAAAACCATAAACACTAGTTAGTCAAGTAAATCAGTGTGAAACCGAGGGTTTTAGGTATGCAGCGAAGCAGTAGAAGGGAGTAGACATTTTATGTTTGTTTGGAAGGAGAGAAAGTAGTGTGGAAGTTCTTAAACAATATTTGGACAAATGTGGGGCCGCCACATGGCATGGAATGGGCATCGTGGGCCCGAAGCAGCCTTATAAGTCGCAGTCCCAATGCTTGGGGGTTTGGGGGGGGTCCAGACAGGGGCGATTGAGTTTGGCCCCCGGCGCAACTTGGCTCATCCGATCCACGTGGGCCCAGTGAACCTATTCCAGTCTGCATTCCCTCTATGCCAGCGGGAATTATTATTATTATTATTTTTTTTTTTGGGTAAGTTGCGGGTAATTATTGTGTACAAAGATTTGCTAAGAATTTTCCCACTGGGCCCATCGGAATCAGATGAGGATGACGCGTCTAATTCAATGCTCCCTAATTCCCCTCCTAATTCTCTGTGTGGCTATTTTAAGTAATTTTCCCAAGAATAAAATATACCATTCATTTTTCCCTTAATGAGCTCATAATTTTGTCATTCTCATTCAAATATGTGTTTTTAGATCAACAAATATAACTCAAAACCTAACTTATAAGAAAATTGTATAAAAACTCAAATACATGTAGTCTAACTCATATTTGACCGATGTGGGATAATAAGATCACAAAATACTATATTGTTTTCAGCCAACATCCACAACAATTCATTAGATCGACATTGCCCAACAGTATGACCTTTCCACGAAACTTATCATTAATTTTAACCCAAGTGAAGGAAGAAGGGAGGGAGGGAGGATTCATTGATCAACCTTGCAATTGATATGAAACAATGTGGATTCTTCAACCTGCTAGAAGCTTTTCTTCCCTTTTTTTTTTTTGAGGGGGACGGGAAGAGAAGTTTAAATTCTTGATCTTAAAAAGACAAAATCTTCACAAAACAAAGAATATTATTAGACTAAAGGTGTGTTGATACTTTTTTTTTTCCCTCCAATGGATATAGCAATAATAAAAAGGGCAACCTCCATAGGTCATTATAACAGTCTTTTTGTATTGCTTATTTTATATACTACTGTAAATACCTAACAATTCTCAACCAGAAAAATATATAAGAAATCCAAAAACAAGCTAATCCTTCCTCACATTTTAAACGAACATAATATTGTAAGATCTCCCTATATAATGATTAAACATAACATAAAATAATAGAAGGGAGAGTTGGGCTTATGATTTGACAATGACCCTCAGAGGCATTAACTTCCCATTCCCATCTCATGCCTAAATCCCTATTTAAGAACCTCCACCCCATCCTCTTGGACCAAACAAACACCATTGTCCTAGAGTTCTTCGGTTCAAACCTCACGAAACAATTTCTTTTTCATCTCTGTTTGGCTTCCCCGAAAATTCATCTCTGATTGCATTTCAAGTTTCAACTACTACTTCTAAGTGCTCAACAATCTATTCTCAATACCCTTTTGCTTCCTAAAAACCCCTATATATTTTCACTTACACTTCACAGACCTTGATCCTTGTAAGCTGGGAAAAATGTTTAGTTTTTCCGATCATAGTGACTTCTCTTCTCGCCGGTGTGTGTGGGTTAATGGTCCGGTCATCGTCGGGGCCGGACCATCAGGCTTGGCAGTAGGTGCTTGCCTTAAAGAACAAGGGGTACCCTACGTGATCCTCGAAAGAGCTGATTGCATAGCCTCTTTGTGGCAGAAACGCACTTATGATCGCCTAAAGCTTCACCTCCCCAAGCAATTCTGCCAACTACCTAAGTTCCCATTCCCTGAACACTTCCCCGAGTACCCCACAAAAATACAGTTCATAGAGTATCTTGAATCTTATGCACAGCACTTTGGCATCAACCCACAATTCAACGAATGTGTGCAGTCAGCTAAGTACGATGAGGCCTGTCAGTTTTGGCGAGTTAAGACAGTTTCTACCACTGGTGAGGTCGAATACCTCTGCCAATGGCTTGTCGTGGCAACAGGAGAGAATGCAGAGCGTGTGGTGCCAGAAATTGAAGGATTACAAGAATTTGGAGGCCAAGTAATCCATGCCTGTGACTACAAGTCCGGTGAGAAATTCCGTGGAAAGAAAGTTCTAGTTGTGGGATGTGGGAATTCAGGGATGGAAGTCTCTCTTGATCTTTGCAACCACGACGCCAAACCATCAATGGTGGTTCGTAGCTCGGTAAGTGATATATTAGATAAATACATATGTTACATCTCTCTATTTACGTAAACTTTTAGAGCATTTGTTTTATATCATCTTGGTTTCACGAGAATTAGACTCAAAAGTTCAGGTTCTAATAAGGTTTATTGTGCTTCTGATCTTCAGGTTCATGTTTTGCCGAGGGAAATCTTTGGGAAGTCAGCATTCGAACTGGCCATGTTTATGATGAAGTGGTTACCTCTCTGGCTGGTTGATAGGCTTCTATTGGTTCTGACATGGTTCATTCTCGGAAATATCGAGAACTATGGGCTTAAAAGGCCATCGGTTGGTCCATTGGAGCTCAAGAACACTCAAGGAAAGACCCCTGTTCTAGACATTGGGGCACTGGAAAAAATTAGATCCGGTGAAATCAATGTGGTTCCCGGAATCAAGAGGTTCTGGTGTGGTATGGTTGAGCTTGTTAATGGCGAAAAGCTCAAGATTGATTCAGTAGTTTTGGCTACAGGATATCGCAGCAATGTCCCTTACTGGCTACAGGTTAGAAAATGTTCTATTCCTCTGCTTATTCCAGAACCCTTTTGGATTTTACAGGGAATTTTTAGTTTCTTCTAAAAAATAAAATTTCTTAGACTTTATCAAATATTTTAGTGTCTGGTATTTATATTGTTACTATATTGAGGAGCTAATGTTATTGTGACTTGAATGTGTACAGGAAACTGAGTTCTTTACTAAGAATGGTCTCCCAAAGGCTCCATTCCCTAATGGGTGGAAAGGAAAGGCTGGCCTCTATGCGGTTGGGTTCACAAAGAAAGGGCTATCTGGTGCATCTGCAGATGCTACGAGAATATCACAAGATATTGGCAAGGTCTGGAAAGAGGAATTAAAGCAGAAAAAGCAAAGAGTCCCTACACATCGGCGATGCATTTCACAGTTCTGATCATCGGAGCACAGATTATCCTGAAATTTCCATTTGTTTGTACTTCTTTTACATGGTAGAAGAGAGATATACTGTAAAAATCAAAAATACCAGGAACAAAGACTGGTAGCATAGAGACCGGCCCTATAATAAACCCAAGTTTTGAGAATGTATATGGGAATTTTGTATACTAAGGATGGTGAGGCTTTTTTTCTTTCCTTTTTCGTTTAGAATCGTATACACTTTTGTTTTGTATAGTGATTCTGCTGTCAAGTATAATGAACAAGATCTACCTTTTCATCTTCAATTGTTTTGAAGTTTCATACTATTGGTCAATAACCCAGCGTAATCTGGTGACAACCAGAACCAGACACAAAATATTTTGAGACCAATGCATAGCCTATGGGCTATGGCCAAATGTCGTCCCAAAATTTTCAACCAATGCTACAGAAGGTAAATGTCATCAAATATTTCCCACTAACATTCTAATAACAGTTAAATAGAATTGAAAGCAATTCCAAAAATTCAAGATGCAATGTGTTCCGATCATTATGGCGGGGCAAATTTAAATTCTAAGAAAAATTTGAGGGGGTTTAAAGTAATTCAAGACGGATCTGTTAATGGCTGCCAGTTATTAACTTAAACAAAGTGAATGTCCTCTCTGTCCAATTCTTGTTTTCAACTTCTACATCAGTACAGTTATCAAGTTTTGATGGCGACCAGTGATTACTTCTTTCTCTCTCTCTCTCTCTTGTATTAAACGAACTCAAATTGGGCTCATCATCTTAGTTAAAACAAGAGGTGCATCTTACAACATCCTTCATTATTTCTTCCCATACCAATCAGAAACTTTCCCAAGGAATGGTTCCTTTGTTTGAATATTCTAGATCTCCAACTTGGGAATCAACATCTATCATCAGATGGGGGTAGGACCCATCAAGGGCAAAGGTCCTAGCTTCACCATACCCTCCACCTTGTTCTCTCTTCTAGGTGTATGTACATTTCAGATGTGGCTGCAAATTACTGTTCAGCCTGTTCTCTTTAGTATAATTATCTTTAAAGTTGACCAGCTCCAATGAATAAAATAGGATAAATACAGAACCAAAAAAGAATGTACAGCCCTAAAAATTCCGAGGAAATATACAAAAATCTGTGATGTGATAAAGACTATCGCATTATGGCGTCGCCCGGACTCGAACCGGAGACCTTCAGTGTGTTAGACTGACGTGATAACCAACTACACCACGACACCTTGTGCCAGATTTTACTAAAATATATATATAACATTTGGTAGCTATTAGACGTCATACCTCACCTGTGACTTTTTACAAAAATTTCAAAGGTTGGACCTTATATATTTTTGTTGTACCCAGGGTAAATTCCTAGATCTGTCCTTGGCTGTATCTGTTATCTGAACAATTCGGTAAACTTAGCATGTGAATAATAATACTTTATGGCCATACTGACTATTGCCGTATGAAATTCACATTCATCACTACGTTGGTATCATGCCCTGTCTCACTAGTCAACTCGTATGATACTGCTTGGTCACATGGATGAACTTACTCCTCCTTATTCCAGATGACTCTGGGAAAAGTTGAACGAGCTCTCTCCAAAAGCTTCTGAAAGATCTCCTCAAACTCCTTTCAACCACAAAAGTCCTACTTAAGAAGACGTCTACAATGTTGTTATCAGTAAAGCAGAAATGCAACCCTCCAATTAACTTGGCTCATGTGGCAAACTGCTAAGAGCTGCGACTAAGCTCTGCGTTCTACAGAAACTCTCACGACTAAAAGCGTATTTTGTTTAGGCAAATATGGAGGAAAGTCAAAGGGAGCAACGAATTGTAGTCCCATGCCAACAAACCTTCTCCAGTGAGTTCAAACTCAAATCAAATGCAGCCACCGGCCTTGTTCTTCACTTCCCTAGATTCTATAAACAAGCCACATGGGTCCTCGTGCTATTGATTAGGATATACGAAAAGCTTTTGGATTCAAGGGCCCATCTACTCTTCACCACCACTCTCTCAAATCTGCAACCTCAAACCTGATAGCTTCTAACTGCTGCCACTTGTATCCTCTTCTCTTTGGGCTCATTCACGTGATTCAACATTAAGCCCACATCCTTTTCTTTTTTGGACATCCCTACCAAAATAGCAAAATACAGCATGGATTGACTATAAAACTCTCTTGCTACTTTCTGAATGTCATAAAGGGTTCTTTAATTCTTTTCCTCCCACTAAAATTAGCTTTAGTCTGCTAATCAGAATTGTTCCATTTACATGATTTTCAAATATAACTAGGGCAGCCAACCTGAAATGACTATATTTGATATCTCTCCGCCTACAAAAACCAACACTCAAAAGTTAGAATGGAGCAATTTGACTTTAAATGATCTATCCTTCTTATGGTACCTAAGTAGTATGCAGCTGAAGACCTAGACAAACACAATACAGACTATAAATAGTATGTTGAAGTATAAATACTCAAGTAAGACCCTCTCTAAATGCTAACGGCTTAAACTTTTGAAGTAGATTGTTGAAACATGAATGGGTAAATTGGGAACTTAATGCAATTCTGAAACAAAATGACACCATTACTTTATGATGACTACTCTTTGTCCTAATTCTATCCAAACTAAGCAATTTCAAATTTCAAAACATAGCATGGTTTCAAATTACTCAAACAGAACATCACTTCAAAGACTCATTTTAGTCCAGGGGCGGAGCTACCTCATGAGGTATGGGGGCACTTGCCCACCTTAACTTTGTGAGAATTAATAGTGATCCAAGTCTTTTTTTTATCTTAAATAAATTAGTTGCTCACCACCTCATCACCCCTTCAAACATATGTTTTATTTTGGATTCACGAAAACAAAAGTAAAATGCCCTAAGCTAAATATATATTGACTAAAACTAATGCATCTCTTTTATCTAATCCACTGCCCCTTATTTGTTATAAACGAATGTATAGGTATCCTTGACCCTTTTTCCGTAAGTAAGTAAGTAGGCCACCATTGAATAGTACATGATCAAAATAAAAAGGTAAAATGCCTCAATTCAAAGCATTCTCTCTTCTTTTCTAGACTCCACTTCTTAATAAGATCGAGAACGGTCTCAACTAAACTTCACAACAAAAGAAAAAATAATTTTGTCATGGAGTTTGTTATTGTCTACACTGAAAGGAAATTGCGGTGAAATTTAAAGATTTAAAAGTTTTTTGTTGATCATATTTTAAAAGAAATTTCATTTTGTAGTTTCATTTAGTAAGTTTGTTTGATACTGAATACACTTTGTCACGCTTGAACATAAAATTTTTTGTATCAAATGGTGAATTTATTTTAGTCACATTTTGTCCCCTCTAAGAGAAGATCCTGGCTCCATCTTGTATCAGTGAATTATAATTAACCCAGGAACACCCAGCCTATTCCAAATGCCAAAAATCATGATAAAACACAATTGTATGAAATTACTTAAACAAGAACAGGAAAAACTACTTACCTTCAGCCATGAGTTTGACAATGAATCTTAGCATATGTCGGAGTTGAATTTGCTGCAAATGTCTGAGGTGCAGTAAATTTCCTGACAACCTTTGGTGCCACCTTTTGAAGAATTCCGAAGAATTGAAGAATCTGAATCAGAAGAGGAGAGAATAAAGATGAAACGAAGAAACGGAGGAAGAGAGATAAAGAAGAATTAGTCGTGCATTCTTACTCAGGATTCTCCATGTACACTATTTATAAACACATTAGTGATCTGTTATCTGTAACAACACGAAATAAACTGCATGTGGATCTTTACTCCGTAGAGGTAACTATGAATTCCTCAGGAAACTCTTGAATATTAAACATTACAGGTTTATCCAATTGGAATAAAACAAATCGTTGAATAGAATAACCTCACCAATCACATCACTTTCCATTACACATCAACGTCCCTTAAGTGGAAAGTACTCCAAGGCTGCAAGCGGATAAAAATTGATTTGCTTAAATTTCCTAGGGTTTATCATCCGTCACTACATAAAAGCATGTTCCAGCTAGAAATACAAGAACTGGCGAGGAATTCTGTATCAACTTGATGATAATAACAAAAAGCATGCATTAAATGTATCAAAAAATTCGTCGATCTCTATCTCCAATCAAACTAAGCAGGTTCATTCGTAAAATTCGATTAAAAACATAAATAACTAGAACAGAAGAAGCAGGTTAAACAAAAAAAAAAATCGAAAGAATTCATTCGAATTAATTTTTTAAATGTAGTAAAAAATTCATCGATTTCTATCTCCAATCAAACTAAGCAGGTTCATTCGAAAAATTCGTTTAAAAACATAAATAACTAGAACAGAAGAAGCAGGTTAATCAAAAAAAAAAAAAATCGAAAGAATTCATTCAAATTAATTTTTTAAATGTAGTAAAAAATTCATCGATTTCTATCTCCAATCAAACTAAGCAGGTTCATTCGTAAAATTCGTTTAAAAAACATAAATAACGAGAACAGAAGAAGCAGATTAAACCAAAAAAAAAAAACGAAAGAATTCACATCTGTTGTAGATATTGAGATATCTACAAGGGGAGAGAAAATCAACAATAATCGGACTCTATAGAAACTCAAATATCAGATCGAAATTCATATGAAACAGAAGGAAAACGATGTGTATGAGTACCAACCGGTGGATGTGCATGAGAGAGAACGAATGATCCGAAAACATCTTATCGAAAAAGAATGATCCCAAAACAGAGGCAGAGAGTCCTAACGCAGAACAGCTTCGGCCCCAAAACAGAGGGAGAGAGACGGAGAGTGCTAACGCAGACGAGCCTTGGCGACGATTTCGTTGCCCGCAACCGACTTATGGCGCGGGAATTTAAAACCATTCCACTGCTTTTTGTCACACGACGTCGTTTGGATAACTAATCTCTGCAGTTATTAATTGGGCCTTGGGCTCAAATAAATGATTTGGGCCTAAGCAACGTTTACGAATAAACGTAGCCCACTTTAAGATGTAGCAAGATGTATGGGAGAAGTC